AAAAGGGTTGACTAGGGCATTGCTGACACTGAGTACTGGTGAGGTGATGTACGCTTGACGTGTGGAGTAGAGTACTGTAATACAACAACCGAAGGCGTCTGTTCTCAAAAAGATGAGCTTTGGAAGAAAGTTGCTGGGCAACCTTTTTCTGGAATGCGATAGCTGGGTCAGATGCACAAGTAAAATGGTTCTTGTTGACTGGAAAACGACGAGCGGAATGGTAAGAGTGCGTAGACTGCTAATGAAGGAATAACACAGGTCCATCTCCTCAAGTTTATAGTCTTAATGTCCACCTCATGAGGTGTGAACATGCTGGTTAAATGGTGCTATGTCGGTTGCGGAGTGTCGAACAAACTGCCCTCGTGTACGGCTTCGCTGAAGCGAAGTCAGAGTGTGCAGGAACACTTGTGCCACACACACACAGTCCTTGTTTTGTTAATAAAATACCGTGTTTATGTGTGGTGGGAAAGAATGTGTGTGCGAGGGTTTTTGTGCATTACGAAGGTCATCTATATCAGTCTGGCCCTGGGTTGTGCAACTCCTTACATTGTCAGACGATACGAAGTATATATTAGATAACGTTGACTCCATGGTTGCTGGGGTGGCGATGGTTCCGTCTGCAGGCCTCGAGTAACTCCTCTATGGGCGTGTAGGAAGCAAGGGGTGGCCGAGTGAAGCCGATGGCTGTTATCCAGTTAATCACAAAAGGCAAATGTCAGTGAGAACACAGGAACTGAACATCATGCTATTGTTGAGAAAGGGGACAGGGTTTTCGCAGCATGTGGAGTGGTAACTTCGCCAGTGTCAGGTGAGCGTATTGCAGCTTGTGTTCTTGTGTCACCGGTGACTGTTAATAGCAGGGAATGGTTCCAGTGTATGCGAACAATAGTTGCTGTGGGTGAGAGGTGTGATAGGTATGGGAAAGCGTGGCTTTCCAAATAATGGATGTAGTATGTAGCGAGCGGTGAGGGTGTAGAGTAGGCCGACGCGACCGGTCTGTTGTCAGCAGTGTATATGCTCAGCTCACGAAGAGCTGCAGCGAAGAGACTTGGTTAAAGGAGGTATGATCAGCTACAGAACAATAAAAGCAGCGTCATCAGCTATAAAAAAATGCATCTTGTTTGATGTATAATTATAGAAAAAGAATAAGTATTAGTGCATTAGAGGAAGCAGCATTTAATAAATATATGATTCTATTATTATTCGTAAAACCGTAAATTAGTCAAAGGAAGTTAGTTGATTGGAGATCAATACTAACAGGGGAGAGAATATACATCCTGGGTATTATCTATCTATATAGAACGTTAATATTAGAGGTATAGCAAGTTGGCGTTCTTTGTGCGCTGATAATAGTGGATTCATTTAAAGCTGGGAGTGTCTATTGTAGAAGACTAACGCGAAATATTACAAGATCACATATGAGTTGGTCTAAAAGTGATTCCAGTAATACACTATTCAATGAGTGGGATAATCTAGTTATGATTATTACAGGACTTTTCTGTCTAGGGTACTAAGATGGGACCGAGCTGAGATAGATATTCCCTTTACGTGACTTGGAATAACAGGCCTTGTCTAAAACTTACGATGCTTATATACATTACTAGTAGTGGTAGGGTCTTTAAAGATTCGTCCCCTCTAAGTATTTATGGTTTTGCACCAACGTTTAATGCCAACCGAAAGACCCGCTTTCACATGAATTGGCTTGAATGCTCGGGCTGTCACATTGCTGGAATGAGTGGTATGACCTCTAACGATCTGGGATAATGTAGTTTAACTAGACCATATATAGAGTGATTGATTGGAATAGGTATAGACATGTAGAGTGTGACTGGGGTGGGAGCATGCAAGTTCCTTGTTTTGTCGTGTGGATTGATACGATAAGTATGTTTGTGGGTATGTGTGTGTGTTTGTATCTGATATAGAACTGGAAATGTTAAGATATTGTTAGAGACAGGAGAGAAGTAGTAGGTGTTCTAGTATATATTAGCTCTTCCAAGTATAAAAAGTTATTAGGAGTGTAATTTTATCATTAATTATCGGATAATATTGCTGTTGAGAGAAGAGATAGTTTTTGATGGGGTCGAGATGGTATGGAAATTACCACTTGGAGACATAGAAAGATAGCAATTTTATTCAGAAGAGAGTTGGACCCATTCCTCATAGAGAGATCGTTATTTGTTCATGATAGAAGGATCTTATGCTTACTTACAAATATAATTAAACTTCATTTTTATAGGCCTTTTACCCTTTCCTAAGAGAGAAGGAGTGACTGTAGGACAAGTGCGACCAAACTATAGGCTCAACGGTGTAGAATAGTTGGTTCAGATAAGTGGGTCGTGTGTTGCATGTGTTGAATGTGTACTTTGGTTTTATTAATATTTGACAGTAATGGTAAAGGATGCAGTTGTAGAACATGGATGTTTTTTTACCGCTAATGCGGTATACAGAACAGACTGTCGCGTTAAGGTAATGACAGCACCTTCATAAAATTGTTTTAGCTTCATAGCATGGGTCCAGGAGAAGTGGCGCGGGTGCTGACATGATTTGATTCATTTTATAAGACAGGAATTTCATGAAGGCAAGAGATAACTGTTAGTCCACAGGGAGTTCCCTTTTTTTCTTTTTCATGGGGGTACCGTTTCTGATCAAGGGGGCGTTGGGGAAAGGAATGAACTGGCCTGCAGTATGGTAATAGCAGCAAGCAGCCATGTTGGACTTTTGTGATTTAGCGCTTAATTTTTACTGCGAGCAACAGCATTATTAGAGCGTTTTAAATAATATGATTGCGCTCACTGATACAGCTATCGTAGTAGCCTATAATTAAGGAGGTTAATCCTCGTGCTGGACTGGAGTTGTCGCTTGCATACTTTTTGTCCTTGGGCTGCACGGTTTAGAGGGAACTTTTGGCCATTCTAATAATTTCTTGAAGTAAGGGACATTTTTGGAGATAGATCTCTGAAGTTAATTGAGTTTGAAACAGAGCAAATTACATAGTTAGGTGAGTGCCTGCGCAATTCAGAGTGAAAGAAGTGATGCAACTGACCTCCATGAAAATGAGATAAAGTACATGTATGCCATTATGACAGGACTCACTGCTTGATGTATGAATGTCTGACTTTGGCATAATTTATCAGTTAAGCTAGAGCAGAACAATGTATTGCGACATGAACCAGCTATAATCTGTCCAGCAGACTGTCCTGTTGGGAAGTATTCTTACGGACTAGAAGGCTATAACTGATTCGATTAGAGTACATAGAAGGGTAGGCGCGATGTTCAGTTCTTCATTGATCTTTCTATATGAGATTCAGCGGGATTTATGGTAGGACCTTTGGCAACCGGATTAGCATGTAGCCTGCATAGCCTTTACAGCGTGTGTCATTAAACGATCTGGTGGAGAATTGATGCGTGTACTAAACGGTTCATTTAGTCGTGTCATACACTTTAGACCAGGGTTAAAAGATATACGACTTAGTATGAACAGCGGCTCAAGTCGCTAAACATTGTACCTGAAGTTGTCATTCGTTGGTATTTGTTATCTACAGTCTGTAGGTATTTAGGCATAATTGACGACTGCCATCTTCTATTAATATTCGCCCAGCCATACGTAGCATTCTAGCTGAGTATATATATAGAATATGCTTTGGATCCTAAGAATTCACCGAGGAAGTTGCTTCCCCGCTGTACAACTGAAGCACGTTTGTTGTTAGATGCTCACGCAGAGGTGCACCGCGTGTTCAAGTCACGGTCTGCACTGTACACTTTGGAGTTTCTCGCCATTGGTCCTTATTCTGTGATCGCAAAAGCACAACCGCGCAGACAGATGCGGTATCTAACTAAGTAAGCTCACGAGAATCGAAGACTTTCCCACACATGGTCGTTTGGAATTTATCTCCATCGCACTATGTGCTGATTATCGAAGGATGGGCCGTGCCAAAGAAGGTCCCATATCTAAAATTCAAATAGGACAATCTTTGGTAGAGTTTTGATGGAGGAGTCTAGATCGTCACTCATGATAAAATTGAGATATAACATACACAATGGGATAGGAGTAAAGTTTTGTTTAAGCCTAGGAAGTATTCTGTGGTATCACTGATACGATTGATTTGGCATGTACCTGGGGAGAGAGAGGAGAAAAGATAATTAGTTATCTTTAAGTATGCACTGACAGGCATTTACCCCGCAAGAGTGTGACGCTCTTAGATTAGTTGTGTTTCTATTGACCTAGACTTGAAAATTTACTCAGGGTCGTATGCCAATTTTGGGAAATACACCGATAAGTAGGAATTTAGTTGCGATACCGGACAGTGACAGGCTGAACTAGATAAGAACCCCTGTATGCAGGAACCATTTAAACTACTAAAATCAGTACTCACAGTCCTCGGTTTGCTACCGTTAGTTGGTTCCCCCCTCTACGTTCAGAAGGTGTATGATAGATATGAAGGCTCAGCACTTACACACGCCATCTATGCCCTGTTGAGTGTAGAAACCTATATAGAGAAGCAAGAGAGTGAGCACACAAAGTTCACTATACGAGTATTAAGTCCTATAAGTTCTGGAATTATTAGCAGGAAAACACGAAACCAGCCACCACAGTTGACGTTGTGTGTATCTGTAACTTATGTGTTAGTGGGCCTAGTTGTAACGACAGGTTCCTGAGCAAGTTAAGACCAAACTTGGTTTTAGAAGATGGAGGTGCCCCATCAGAATAAGGTGATTCGCTCCATGCTGGAGGGCAGTGTGTGCGGATGTCGGAATGCTTGAGTATTGGTCGCCATATATGCCCTGATATAAGGAGCATGAGACATGGCTTGCGAACAGGAATCAGCTTTATATTGTCTTTGCTGTGTTGTTTATTTTGGGCTTCATTTTACAGACGCTTTGTGTATCAGCTGTGGGGCAGAAATTTATGCATTTGTTGTCGACTATCTGGCTTTATTATGCTTCCGCTAGAGGCGCTCAGGGGAAAGACGGAGGTTGTTTTATCGCCGGACCATTTTTTTTTGCACACTGCCTGTAAGTATTTTCGGCCATGATTGTAGCATATGTGTCTCTCTTTCATTATTGTGTATAGTATTTGTGGCGTTCTTGTTAGTAATCGTTCGCATTTATGGATTTCTTCTGATGTTGTAGGGATCTCTGTTTTGCATCTAGACTTACCTAAAACAATTGCCTTGTTGTGTGAAAACCAGGATTCCGGACCTGATTAGTTAAGGGATAATAAACTTTGGCTGCCTCACGTGCCAATCTGCAAGCATCAAATCAGGTAAAACTTTCATCACAACAAACCCACCCTACCACACTACTGTCTCTGTTTAAAATTTGGGACAGGCGCTTGGTCAGCAGTGCACGAGATGGCGGGAACGGACGCAGTACGTACTAGTTAGGTCTTCTGAAGGATGAGACCAAAAGGTAACTCTCTCCACTCCTATTGTGCTGTATTTTTGTCATGGATATGGTGTAGAGTCTTGATCATGAATGCAATCCGTGTAACGCCAGGGTCCTGTTACCCTAAATTGATTTCTTAGGATGCTAAAAACGTCCATCATGCTAACTTGTTCAGTCTGCGCTACGAAAAATTTGATGTTGGATTTGACTAGAGCTGCGAATAAATGAAAAGCCTGAGGATTGGACGAATATACATTTTTAATATTTCAGGAGATTCTATTGTCAGGGAAAGGGATATTAGATATCAAGGTACCTGATATGATGGTGTATAAACAGCCTGTGTGTGAATGGTGAATGTGATGTAAAGTAAAGCACTGTTGAGTGGGCGGAGAGACCAGAAGGATTACTGTGAGATGCACGTCCATTGGTGACCATGGTAGTTGGTAACATGAGGGTAACATAGAAAAACACCCACTGTCCAAATCTGTCCATTAAAAACTTGATTGAATATCTAAACCTGTATTTGATTCCGTTATCATTACTGTAGACATTTCACATATGGTTAGCTGGGACTGTCATCATACAGCCCGGCCTCAGGGGGGCTGACAAGCTTATGAAGAACATCTGTGAAGAATGATAGGAGTACAGAGATGAGACAACAGCATACTTCATTTAATTTATTCATGGACATAAACTCACAAAACCATTATTGTAGCACAACAAACAATTAGTTTCTGCAGACACATGGGAATGTTTAATATACTCTTATATATTCGTTTTTTTTCGCAACACAAAACAAAAAGCAAAACACAAATAATGTAAACATCCACTGTATTCTTTCCAGAGTAGGTAGAGGAAGCAAGATGGTCCAAAAGAGGTGAGTCAAAGTACTGGGGGCAACATACAGTCAACATCTCAACTTCGCTTGTGACCCAAGTTTGGATGAAAAAAAACTACAGCAGTTGCTAATTATTAAACAATACATAGACAGTGTATAAGAGAAACACTTTTAAAATCACCCAGACAGGTTAATACCAATGTGGTGATGTTTATGATGTTCAGTTTGTGAAGCTGTGACTGTGTTGTTCAGCAAATACTCAGTTCTCAGTTTAGAAAATGACAATCAAGTTGAATCAATTAAAACCCAACTTTATGAGCCTCACCTACTGCTACTGGCTGCAGTATCTATATAGGCACACAGACACACACACAGTTGAAAACCTCCTTGTTTGTCAAGCCAGGGAGATTGGCGATTTTGACATTCATTTATAAAAAAAAACAAGGAGGTGGATCCAGCAGTAAAACATCCCAATAAATAAAGGACCGATCTATCATTTCAAGGATATGTTCACGTTTTTGCACTCAAGGAAAGACATTACAAGCACAGACACTTTCCATACACAACTGATACGCTACAGTACATCTACAGAAGGGGGACATTATTGCCCTGTTCTCATTCAGGGTGGTGGTGGTGGCGGTGGGGGGCGGGGGGATTCACAATGAGAAAATGAACTGGAGGTAATAAGAACAGTGGAGAAAGGAGGCCAAGTTTGAGATGGGTGAAGGCTTGATGACGATGGTATCCGAGCACCTTGAAGTGCAGGGCTGTGGGGTGAGATGTGAGATGTGAGATCTGTGGGTAGAAAGGTGAATGGGGCTAGAATGGAGCACCCCTCAGTGACGGGCGGCAGACTCCCTAGGGTAGAACTCTGCAAGGGTGCTCTGAGGAATCCTCTTGAGCATCTCCTTGGGGAAGATTCGCAGCAGCTGCCAGCCAATGTCCAGTGTTTCATACACTGTCCTGTTGTCGTACGGGCCTGAGGGAGACAGTGTATATGTGATGAGATTACATACAAAGTCGATGCAAAGATGAAAGACGAAATTCGCCCAATTCGCATATTTGATAGATCCCATATCAAATATGCCAACAAGCGTACAACAAGCAAAAAATGTGCAAGTATTGCAGTTTCTATGACTTTACTTTTGCAGTGTTGTGTGAGAAAGAGCTGCTGCTGGTCCACAGACAGCTGCTTGAGCCCAGGAGCTTCTGCAGAAATGAGCTGTGGGCAAAGCCGCAGCTTCTGGAGGACTAAACACCCATAGTCACACTGGATTCTGCTCTGATCTGAAGAAGTTTGCTGGCAAGGGGAGAGCTCTGAGTTTATTTTTTAAACTTTTGGGATTAAAAAGTGGATTTATCTTCACTCTTATCAACCTGTCTGCTGTGAATCACTAAACTTGCACAAAAGAAAAAAATAGCACATGGTAACCTCTTATCAGACAGTATTCTAACCACTTGCGGGCCTATTCTGGGGTGTTTTGGGAATTACTTAAGAAGGCCTTGCAACTATGTGTAATGTAAAACTGATCACTTATCGCAATTTATCCACAGAGAATTATCACCAACTCTGCACTTACCCATAGGAACTTTTTTAGCATTTTTTAGGCTCATTGTTTTGGTTGTACAGCCTGCAGACTCTGCCCTTATTAACCTAATTTCCAGCATTAAATGAATCTATTGTACTCAAATTGCCCTGCACCATACAGCAGACAAAGGTAGCAACTAATATTGATAGAGAAGTTTTAGCAGTTAAAGAACCAGATATTTATTCTCGGGAGTTGGTGGAGACCAAAATAGAGTGAATATTATGGTGTGTTCACACCAAAGGCAAAGCATTTTTCACCGCGCCTTACTCATGAGATCATTTGTGTCTTCATGTGCGCGAAACATTCGCTCATTAATCTGGCTCACTACAGTGGTATGAGCCCAAAAAATGCTGTGATTTTACTTTTATATAGTATATAGTATTTGGATCTGGAGTAAGGATGTGCTTAGCTTAGCTATGCTGCAGTGTAACTGCACTTTAACTGCATTTCTGTAAATGCAACTTTTTTGATGTTGTAATGTTCTAATGCATTGTTTGCTTCATAAAATGCACTTTAAATGACCTGTGTTGGAAAGGGGCTATACTATGGAAGCAGAGGGAAGCAGTTAGCCTAGCTCTGTATAAGAAAATATAAGGAAAATATTTCTCCATTTCCCCATCTCTTCTTGCCATGATGGCTATTCTTCTGTGAAATCCATCAGTGTCCAAAAGAGGAAAAAACAGCTGTGTGTACAGTATCTACCAAGGAGACTAAAGCATCTCAGCACTGAGAATTGAGTCATTTTTAAGAAAAAAAAAGAGATAGAAGAAAAGGGTCAGGTATGCTTCAGCAACAAAGAGGGAACCTACACAGATCGATATTTTCCAGGGAAAAACGTAAAATCAGAAATACAATGTGTAAATGCCACTTCAACTACCGTTTTTTAAAGTAATACACCATAATAGATTAGCAAAAATACACAATAACCAAAAACACTGTTCCTTCTGTTGGTCAGTATACTCTCACTTTACTAGTACTACTTTAAACAGTAACAAGAGCACGTATCACTATATATGCTATCTGCACCAAAATCAATGACCCTGGGCGGTAATAGTAATAATGCTGTAGTGCAAATACATTTTCAGTAAGGTTGATAGACTATGAAAGAAAACTGAATCACACACACTTCAAAGCCACTAAGTGTCACTGTTAGAAACATAGACAGGAGACAGCTACTGCCACATACCTCTTCAAGCCCACATTCATTTACTTACTAAATTCTGCATCCTCCTGGGCATATAATTAAATCGACCCCATTCCCAATTCTGACTTTCCTTTGTAATTACTATGGATTAAAGGATGTGGTTTTATTTATTCATTCATTCATTCATTTTCCCCCACGCTGAACTGTTCATCCTGGGTATTTAAATGAATTATGTGATTGCAATGAAGAGTCCAATCTGTGGGAGCAGGGGGAATCTAATTTAGTGGTTAGTCACTGTATCACACTGTCTAAATAAAACAGCAGAACTTTAGCATAAGGTTCTCTGTGGTGACCTCACAGCTTGAGCATGTGCAGGAGAGCTGGCGTCTGCACACATTTTTACATCCTGCATAAAAGTTATTCAATTGCAATACCTAACTAACAATTTTCAGCTATTCATTTATATCATTTAGTCTATGGAATCGTCGTCACTACAAAACATTCTGGCTAATTAAAAAGAGACAAGAAGCAGCTCTCAGCCATGTCAACCCTGTAGTGTAGTGTTGTTTAAATAAAAAGCCTGAACAGAGTTCTAGTGGACAGGAACCTGATTTCTTAACAGGGCTTTTATTGTGATAAATTGGGAAAACGTACTGACTTGCCACTCCACTCTCATTTTGTTGCACTTGGCAGCGGCAGTCACGTGCAACACTTAGTGTTAAAATTCTGTATTAAAGGGCATGTCCAGGCTAAATTTACATCAGTTCAGCCAGAAGGTGATATCTTTATTCGGATCGCATGCTTTGTCTGACCAACTGACCAAATTCCACCAGAAAACCAGAAAAAGTTAGATATTTTTGTTTGATGGATTCCTTGAATGATTAATCAGTTCTAAAAATTGTTGGTCATTACATTTCTGTCAATCGTTTTTATCACCTAATACACAGGGAGCGAGGATTGGCTGCCTTAATGAAAAGGCAGATGAAATAATAAACATCCTATTATACACTATTATCATTTATTTGCTTATAATACCTCTGTAAATAATACATAATTGTTCCTTTAGTGTCTCCTTACCCTGAGCAATAAAGTTTTTCTCAAACTTCTGCAGGAACTCAAGGTAGAGCAGATCATCAGAGGTGAGGGCCTCTTCTCCCACCACAGCCTTCATGGCCTGGACATCCTTACCAATGGCATAACAGGCATACTGGAGACAAGGAGGGACATTCATATTAACAATGATGATAGTAAAATAGTAAATAGACTGGAATGGAATGTACTTGTATCCTTCTGTAGTCTTCCGACCTCTCAAAGTGCTTTTACATGACATGCCACATTCACCCATTCACACACATTCATACAGTGAATGGCAAAGGTCATCACAAACAGCAACTAACATTCATTCACATTCATACACCAATGCACTGTGCATCAGAAGCAATTTGGGCTTCAGTATCTTGCTTAAGTAAAAAAAACACTATACAAAATAAAATCTCCGTAAACGCAGCATCGTTTCCAGAAATATCTGCGTCCACACGGATTCACTGGAAACGACCCAAAACGCTGTAGTACATATGCCAGGCCTGTAGTGGCGCTGTGACGCAACCACACAATACACTAAAACCGAAAGAAGCCATGGAGCATGCGTATAAAAGGTCACGCGCTGTGCACAAGGCTGTAGTCCGCCATTGTTTGTGTTGTTATGACGCGTCTAGCGGCGCGCTGAGGTTAAAGGTTAGAGAGGCGGGCCTTATACGTCATCGTATTCCGCCGTCCAGACGACTCCGGCAATCCGGCGTTTTAGGGTTTTCCCACTCTGGGACCCGTTCTCCAAAAAATCCCGTTTTCACACCTCGAAAACGCTGTATCCTCTGGACGCGAGGCCGATACGATAAAGTATTTATACGATTCGACAAAACGTACTCGTGTGGACGGGCCCTTTAGTCCTTCTGACCACTCAAAGCGCTTTTACACTACGTGCCACATTCACCCTTTCACACACATTCACTCAGTGATGGCAAAGTCCATCAAACAGAAACTAACGCATTCATACACATTCACACACCGATGCACAGCATCTGGAGCAATTCGGGGTTCAGTATTGTGCAGTATGCAGTTATTCATCTGACTTTGATTCAGAAGGAAAAACATGTCATGCTTTTAGGATGCTCAAGTATTACAACATAGTCTCTACAAATAAATAGTCTGCTTGGAACAATAATAAGGATTTTGAGTAGAGATTTCTTACCAGCTGGTTAGAAACATCTGCATGGTCCTTCCTGGTCATCCCCTCACCAATGGCCGACTTCATCAGACGGGACAGTGAGGGCAACACATTGATGGGTGGGTAGATCTGAAAAAGGAGATTGTCTGATTACAGATATTGTTAATGCAAAGCTATTTTATTGTAACTATAGATGTTACTAAAACAAACAATGTAATGACAGCAACAGTCAAAATCTTGGAGGAGAGAATCGTGGAGAGGTCAATTTAACGTTGATGAGATAAGCCCTGCCAGTGTATTGCATTCACTTCTCTTGGTATTTTCAATGAAGAACAATTGTGATAAGACAATGACTTAGCTAACAAGCTTTATGTTAGCTATAGCTTAGGCTTCGGCTTCAAGCTATGCACTTGTGTTGACCCACAGTGGTTTGGACCAACCAGCATCCTGAAGAACTACTGGCAGCTACAGCATGAGCTAGGGGTGTGGTTTAACGCCAGGTGTGTGACGACGTGTGTGAGAAGTGACTGTTTGGAGATTAGCATTTTCCAATGATGACAAACCATCTGGTGACTCTGTGACAGCAGCATGGGTAGTTGGACTGACGTTAGGTTGTGGTCCCCAGTTACTGATGAAGGTTCCTTATATGGGTGCTGATCTTAGCAATATTCAAATTTGATATATTAGTGAGACATTTATTACGACAATAGCCACAAAAATAGCCACAATAGCCAAATCACCACAATTCAAGTGATGTACTGTGTAATGGAGTGACTATCACCACATTACAAGTGATGTACTGTATAATATTACTGCTTCTGCTACTAGCTAGCTAGCATAATCAGTCAAGAGTTGCTTTTAATCATAACAGATAAGATATATTAGTAAAAACTTAGTAAATACCAATTCTTGTTTTTCCATGGGTATTCAAGATTAACTAATTGCCTGGCATGTGAACGTCTTGGTCCTTTGCACATACAGGGAATATATGTACAGTGTAGGGCCACTCTTTATGAAAAATGTAAAGGTTTTTTTACATTTGAAAAAATTTACAGTTGAAATTTGCCACTACTGTTGGAGCAGCCGCTAACTGCAGTTTCTTCCCCATTTCCTAGACATCTTTGCAAAAGTAGCGTTATATAGATAGTAAAAATAGAAAAAGTAATGGTGACTTGTTTACATCTGGTACTTGAAAATCTCATACTGTTCAACTCCAGTCGAAAGCGTTTGAGTAGAACTGATCCTCATATGGGATTTAATACTTTTTTCCCCCGAAACATGAGCATCAAGCTGGCCAGTAGTTAATTCTTGCTTAATTTTGTCATTTTGAAGATGAGAAATACTTGAATTTGATTGGGTTATTTGGTGAAGCTAAGTTTGAATACACCGTTCTCACCTGGTTAAAATACCAAAACCATAGGTGTCAGTATGTGACAGTAATCGCTCCATGTATATTGTGAAATGTGAATGACCAGTACAATGTGATATTTTGAATCAAAGCTTGGGCCATCTAGCCCAAGAATGAGTACCAGCTCTTTAAGTTGAACAAACGTTGTTTTAAGAAAAAGCTGATGAATACCTGTCTGTTGTGCAGCTGCCTGTCAACGTAGACCTGACCCTCTGTGATGTATCCAGTCAGATCAGGAATTGGATGGGTGATGTCTGTTAGAGGCACAAAAATGAATTCAATTGCAACACATCCAACAAATGATCTTGTATTTGTTAATGTAAATAGTTTATAGAATGGCTCAGTTGACTTTACATTCAGGGTGCAGATCATCTACCAGTGAGACATTATTCAAATCACTCACTGATTTGCAGGCATTCAAATAATGGGACAGAAATAGACAAAATTTTTGTCAGCTTTCATTTTAAAGACCTTTACTCTAAATCAAGTGCCCTCGGGAACACCAGCAGTGTTTAGTAAAAGCTGACACAATCACCTCCCTGTGATGCTGTAATGGGGGACTCCTGTTCGACTAGATAGGAGTAGGCTCTTCATACGTGTTGCTATGGTAACTGCAGGCATCAAAAATGGGCAAAAAATTGCTTTGAATGCATAAAATACATATGTTGATAATTCATATCACTGTTCCCTACAAAGCAGACAGTGGTGCAGATGTCATACTGGTCCAGCTTAAAGCTTTTGTTCTGTTGCTGCTGCTCTCACCGTCATTGGGCATAGTGAGAATGGGAATCTGGGTGATGGAGCCGTTCCTGCCCTCCACTCGGCCGGCACGTTCGTAGATGGTGGCCAGATCTGTGTACATGTAGCCGGGGAAGCCTCGACGGCCGGGCACTTCCTCTCGGGCAGCAGAGACCTACGGGTGGGGAGGAGTGGGCAGTAAATGGGAGGGCGACATTAGAGCAGCAAAAAGAATTAGCTAAAGGACACAAGGCTGGTAACATGCATTTACATTTTAGTTCTCTGTATTTTCACCATCTTTCAGATTTTTTATTTCAATTCAATTTAATTCAATTTTATAAGGAGTCGGTCTAGACCTCTCTTATTTGGAAAAAGGTGTTCCTGAGTAACTTCTGTTAATGGAAATTGCGCTATACAAATA